CAGGCTGATTACCAGCACCTCTTCTCCCACAAGAGTCTGATTGTTACTGACAGAGATTCCTTTGTTCTTGCCGTAGAACCTCCTGTTAAATTAGGTGTATAAAGATTTATCTATTTATTTGTATTTTATGCATACCTGTTTTTCCTGAGTGTACACCATCTGCTTGCAGCACCCAAGGAGATCAGAAGAGGGTCAGATAGATGCCCTGGATTTGGCGTTTAAGGCAGTTGTGAGCTGCCTTGTGGGAACAAAACTCAGGTCCTCTGTGAGAGTAGCCAGTGCTCTTACAGTCTGAGCCTTCTCTCCAGCCCCTTAAACCAGGTCTGTAAGTCCACATCTGCAGTGAGTGAGCTGAGTCACTTTCCCTGTGAGTTTCCACACACGGAAGAGTGGACCTATCAGTTCTGTGTAGTGCATCAGCCCCTGGGAAAGCGTGTAAGAGTCTTGAAGGAAATGATTTCCTTGCAGATTTGATGTTTAAGAGCCTTGTTCCTATGGGGAGATTCTGGTTCTAACCCACAGAGATCAGGCAATTTCTTTAAACATCCTAATGAGCTTGCTGGCTTGAGCCCAAGAAAGCGCCCAAGGAACCCCGGGTTTCAGAGACTACCAGGTCAGCCCCAGGCAGCTCTCACTTCCCAGCTAATGCCTGGGAAGAACAGGAATGCAAAACCTATGTATGAATGGCTTGGGTTTCCAGTGCCAACAACACAACATCAGGGCAGGACTCCCTGGCCTTGCTACTGAAGGCTTTTATGTTATTACTGTTTATTCAATATGTATAAGTGTTTTGTCTGCACATATGTCTGTGCACCATATTCATACATGTATGTCTGTGCACCATATTCATACAGTGACTGGCGTTACAGACAGCTATGAGCCACCATCATCTTGTGGGTGCTGGGAACCAAACCTGGGTCCTCTGTAAGAGCAGCCAGGGCTCTTGACCACTGAGCCAGCTCTCCAGCTCCCAAAGCCTTTATTTTAATTGTGTGTATATGTTTCTGTCTGTGTGAATGTGAAAACACGAGTTCAGGTGCCCAAGGGGACTAGATTAGAGTGTTGAGTTTCCTGGAGCTAGCCTTACGAGCACTCTGAGCTGCCCAGTGTGGGCACTGGGAACCAAGAGCGCCCTTCGAAGGAACAGTACACACTAAACTGATGAGCCGGCCACCTCTCCAGTCCTCATTGTGCTACTCTTGCCAGTGGTTTTATTTATTTATTTTTATTTAATTTTTTTCATGAGATGTGTTTTGGCTTTGTTTTTTTCTCTCTACTGACTCCTCCCAGGTCCTCCACATCTCCTTACCCAAAGCCTTCCCCAACATACAACAAATCATGGAGTTTGCTTTGTGTTCTGAGCATGAGCTTGCCATAGACTGTAGCTGACATGCCCAGTGACACTCCCTTTGAGAAAATGGATTTCCCCTTTGCCTGCAGGTGTCAGTCGCAAAAAGCTCCTTGGTTAGGGGTGGGACCCTTGTCTGCTCCCTGCCCCAGTGCTGGGACCATCTGACTTTAGTCCTTATTTTTAGTTTCTTGTTTTTGCTTTTTAAAAGCTGCTGATTGAACCTAGGGCCTTGCACGTGCTAGTCAAGTACTGTACCAGTGACAAGCGCTGCTCCAGTGACAGAGCTGTACACCAAGCACAAGTGCACAAACCCTGGTCTCTCTCTGTGTGTGTGTGTGTGTGTGTGTGTGTGTGCGTGCACACGCACGCATTGGTGTTTTGCCTGTTTGTATTATGTGTTAGAATGTCCAATCGGCACGAGGGTGCTGGGAATTGAACCGGTGCTCTTAAAGGAGGAGCCACCTCTCTCTTGAGCCCACCTCCCCACAAATCCTAATCTTGATAAAGGTTTATATATGTGAATGCCCAAGTAGCTGCTGTCCAAACTTCCATCTCCAGCACTTAGAAAACTCACTAGGGACACCCTATTGGTTAAGGCTCATACACTCCAGAAAATCACTGCTGCCATCACCCATAAATGTTTTTTAATTAAATCAAGTGTTTGTGTGTGTGTGTGTGTGTGTGTGTGTGTGTGTGTGCTTGCGTGCGTGCACGCGTGCATGCGCATTAATGTTAGAAAGCTCCCTGGGTATGCTTTGCATGTGGCGGTCAGGGGACAACTTACAGGCATCAGTTTTCTCCTTGCACTGCGGGCATCGAACTCACACAAGCACCTCCCCACCAGCAAATGTGTTGCCTTTTATTATACTGCATGTAAACTGAATCTTCTGTATGAAGCCTCATGTCTGGTTTCTTTGTCACAGCACAGTATCTGTGAGATTCATTCATACTGTTCTACACACTAATAATCCATCCTTCCTTTTTACAGTATACTGGGTTATTGCTTGTTTTGTTTGAGACAGTGTTTCTCTGTGTAGCTTCAGAGCCTGTCTTGAAACTTGCTCTGTAGACCAGGCTGGCCTGGAACTCATAGAGATCCACCTGCCTCTGCCTCCCAAGTGCTGGGACTAAAGGTGTGCACCACCACTTCCTGGCTACAGTCTGCTGTTAATGCACCAAAATGACCTGATCTCCTTTACCAGGAATTAGAGTTATGTCTAGTCTGGGAATATTCTTTAAAAAAAAAAAAAGCTGCAATAAGAAATGTTAAATTCTTATGAAAGTTTTTCTGTGGTTGTGCTCACTTATTTTCTATTTCTGTAGGGTTTATAGATGGAAATGAAGCTGCTGGTGAATCTAGGTTAGCTGCAGTAACTGTCAAACTTTCCAAAGTGGGTGCCTAACTCCTCCGTCTTCCAGTCAAGTGTGAGGTACTGGTTGTTCCCATCCTAACTCACAGCTGGCACCACTGTGACTCTTCATTTCAGCTACTCTGGTAGACAATAATGTTATTAATTTTAAATTTTGTTTTGTTTCAAGACAGGGTTTCTCTGTGTAGCCTTGGATGTCCTGGAACTTGCTTTGCAGACCAGGCTGGCCTCAAACTCACAGAGATCTGCCTGCCTCTGCCTCTTGAGAGCTGGAATTAAAGGAATGCACCACCACCACTTGGTGATTTTAAAAATTTTTATTGTTAACATAAGGACCAGCCTTCAGCAGCTCCGGGATGGAGGGAGAGCCACGGAGTCAGCAAAGCAATCACTCAACTTGACTTTTCTATCTGAGGGAGTAAAACTTAATTCTCTGGGGCTGGTTAAAAAAAAAGGGGGGGGGGGGAACACACATGTGTGTGTGCAAACACACACACTTCCAACATCTCAGGATCTGATGCTGATGAATGGCAAGCCTTCAGCAGGTCAGAGAAACTGAAGAGGAGATGCAGAACAGGCCAAATATTGGACAGACAGACACATAAGGACTTTTCTGAGGGCCAAAGCTTAGTTCTTCAATTATTCTTTCTGTTGCATGTTCTACTTTATTCTTTTTCTGTTCTGTCTTCTACCCTGATGTTTTCCTTCTGTCTATTCTTAACTTTTCCTTCTAACTAACTTAATTTCCCCCTTACAGTTTATAATCTCCAGCAAAATCTTTCAAGCAGTATAAAAATTACAACGTAGTTACAAATTCTACTTTCAAGTGAATGATTACAATGAATGCAAGTAAAAAGCAGCATGTTTTCCATGTCCCTTACATGATTAAACATTTTACATATTACAGGTGGAAAACAAGTTGTTCCAAGAACCCAGCTACATTCATGCCCAAGCAACTTGTTATAGATTAACAGAGTGTGAGCAAGCAAGGCATTTTTCTCAGCCAGTTCTCTTTTACTGGCAGGCTGCATTTTGTGGTTACAAAGAAAGGATCAATCACTTTGTTATTTATCTTGAAAGGTAATCTTATAAGAAATCTTAAAAGAATCACAAATCTAAACTTTTATATATATGAAAAGCAGTCAGCCCTACTTTAAATCCTCAGGATGCATACCCACTCCATCAACAGCTTTTTACTAAATCCTATCAGGAAGCTGAGGGCAGAAATGGGTGCAAGGACTTAATCATCACCTTTGATCACAATCCATCCTGGCAAGAAAGGTCCCTAAGCCAGCAATAGCCAGACTGCCATTGTTCCTGTTTCCTAACCTCAACAAGTCCTTTGCTCAACTATTACAAGTGTGTCTTTCTAAACTTTGAATTGTTCCCCAAGATTTCCTATCTCAAAGCTATTTACAAAAACACCTTAACCTAACCTTACTAACAATCTACATGTCTAAATTCTTTCTAAGGGTAGTGGTTGAATCATTAATCTGCTCCAATGCTTGGAAAAAGTTAATCACTATTATTGTAAGTACCAGTAACACTGCCCAGCGAGGGGCTAGAAACACCTGAGAATTGTCCATCATCAGCCCATAATTATGGGGGACATGGTGCCCACAAAGGCAGCAATCAGAGCTGTGCTCAATAACAGCATAAGGACCTCGGGACATGCAGACCTCTTTGCCTCTGTCTCACTTAGGTATGACTGCCAACTGCTCAGCCATGTTCCACGAATTCCAATGCTGTCTGCTGGTCCCCTTGCAAGGCCCCCAACACTCATCACTCTTACAGAGGACCTGAATTGGATTCAGCATCCACACGATAGTTCACAGCCATGCATAACTCCAGTTCCAGGGGATACAATGTCCTCTTCTGGTCTCTGTGGGAACCAGTGGGTATTCACATATGAATGAATAAATAAATAAATAAATAAATAAATAAATAAATCTAAAATAAAATTCTTACTTTACTACTTCCCAACTTTATTGGTTGGGACCCGTAGCCACTAAAGCTGAGCCCTCTCTCCAGCCCCCAAGTTAATGTATGGACAACTTTAAAGTGGTACTGAATTATACCCCCACCATGCAAGAAAAAAATGTGTTTTTTGTTTTGTTTTGTTTTTAACTGAGACTATTTTGAGACTTGTCAACTTTGGTATTTCATTGACTTTTTTTTTTTTTTTTTTAACATACTCCCCACAGAGAGGCTACTTAAAATTCTTTTTTCTTTTGTTTTCTTTTTTGGCAGTTCTCCAACTTTACTTGATATTCAGCACGTTAGTTTTCACCCACATTGACTTTCTGTAGATTTTTGAATGTGGTAACAGGCACGTTGGTTACCAATGTATACAGCTTGTTTGGTGAGTCCTCATCCTCGTTACATTTTCTGGACAAATGTACACGGATACGGTGGTACGGAACATTCCTTATTCCTTTGGCCCATGCGGCTCTATCGAGCCTGGTATCGATGCGAATGTCTGGGGTTCCCAAACCCTTCATGGCAAATTTCCAGATTTCTTTGAGTGCTTGAGGAGCACGCTTCTTGAAGCCCATGCCATGGATGCGCTTGTGGATGTTGATGGTGTACTCCCGGGTCACCACCTCGCTGATGGCAGAAGGGTCCTTCTCGCCACCCTTTTTCGCTGGAGCCATTCTGCCGGGCCCAAAGGGGAAAGGAAGGGCGTAAGTGGTTGTGGGAAGGAAAGCAAGGTCTCAAGTACCTCCTTTTTCTATTATATTACCTTTTTTATGAGTTGGTTTGTTTCCTTTTATGAATATTTTCTTTTCTTTTTTGGAGAAAGTGTCTCCTATTGTCCAGGCTGGCTTTGAATTTGTAGCCAAGGATGATCCTGACCCTTCAGTCTCTACCTCCTGAGTGCTAGGATTGCAGGTATGGCCACCATGCTTGGTTCATGTGACGCTGAAGGTTGGACTCAGGGCAAACAGTCTATCAACTGAGCCACATCCCCAGCACACATCATTAAGTGTATTTTGATCGTCAATCACATGTAACAAGAGTAATATTTAAAAATAAGTACAGCTGGCTGTGGTAGTACAACTCTATAATCCTACCTAGCACTTGGGAGGCAGAGGCAGGAGGATTACTTTAAATTCAGGGCCAGCCTGGTGTATATGGTAAGCTCAGGTTAACCAGTACTATGTATGGTTAGCCTTGTCTCAAAAAAGCCAAAACAGGCGAAGGCGTGTGTGGCCATCTCATAAATGGATAGATATGCAAAAAGAGGTTTATATAAAATTTTAGCAATCATAATAGGATGTAACTCCTTTCTCCTTTTTTATTAGTTCTTTCAGAATTGCATATGGTGTGTCTTGGTCATATTCACCCCTTTGCCATGTGTCCCCATTTACCCCATTTCCAGACCCACCCAACTTTGTGACTTTCTCTTTTTTCTTTCAAGTACAGTTGGTACTGCCCATATACTCTTGTGTGTGGCTTCCATTGGAATGTGGTCGACCTACCAGGGTCCTCACCCTTAAACAAAACTGACTGTTTCTCTCCCAGGAGCTCCTTAGAGAGGGGTGGGACTTCATGCCCACCTCCCTCCCACTCCATACTGGATTTTGTCCGACTTGAGTTCAAATGTACAGCTTCCCCGTTGTGGGGGAAAACACCGTTTCTCTATATCCATCCACCACCTCTGACTCTTACACTCTGCTCCTTCTTCCATAATAATCCCCATGCCTTGGGAAGAGGGGTGTATGACAGAAATGTACCCTTCAGGGCTGAGCATCCTGTAACCTCTTCTCTGCATCCTGACCAATTTGGGTCTCTGTGTTAATTTCTATCGACTGCATGAAGCTTCTCCGATGAGGAATGAGCGATGCACTAACCTACCAGCACAATGACAAGCTATTAGGAGTTAGTTTAACACTATATTCATGTATCAAGTAATTGTAGCAGGTTCTCCTTTAGGGCCCAGAGCCTGTGTAGCCCTGGTGTCAATGCCAGATGTGAGGATCATAAATCAAGTCAGGAAGGGTTGGTTACTCCCATTGCATTTGTGACACTATTGCTCCGGTTGGCATGTCTTTTCAGGCCAGCCACTGTTGTAGTTGGAAGAGTTCACAGCTGGATAAGCCTGGTGATTCCCTCTCCTGGTAGTTGTGTGTCGAATTTTCCAGCACTACGAAAGCTAACTGGACAGGATAAAGTTTCCAGGTGAGTATCAGCTTGATTTGTTTGTGTTCTATGACTCAGGTATGTGGAGTCTTCAGCAATGGGGTATTACTGCCAAGTAACCAAAAGCACTGGCAGCAGCTAGTAGTTCTTGGGACCTTCCTGGCCAACAACTCCAAAAGAAGTAACCCACTGCTGGCATTAGGCTTTCAACCTTCGGTGTTTGGTAGGATCATTGTCACCTCCCCTTAAACTCTGTGTATGTATCTGTTGTTTCTACAGTGGTAGGTTTCCCGGTGGCTTTAGTGGTGGTAGGTACCCCATGTTCCAGCCTCCCAACCCATTTAACCCTTTCTGTTCGATTATTCCTCTTTAACCCTTTATACCACTGCACCCTATTTCACCTCCCTTTAATATAACTTTAAATGAAAAACACTTATTGCTATTTCTACTTTTTTCACTCCTAAAAGCTCAATGTTAGCATAACCAATAATACTCCTGGAAAATATTGTAGAAATACATACGGTTATTTCTATAAATACCCAAAGGGGATTCTTCATTGAAACGCTCCCTAGAAGCAATAAAGGTTGTCTCTTTAACATGACAAAAAGACTATTTAAACCCAAAAGTCAAAATTACACTTAATGGGGAAACATGAATTATTCCTCTTTAAAACAGGGGCAAGACAAGGACAATCACCCCTATTTAACTTGGGTCTAAAAATTCTAACAAAGCTTCTGGGATGGGGAGGGAGAAAGGATACAATCAAAGAGGAGGAAGAAGGCAAGCTATCTTGCTTTGCAAATGAAGTGGAAATCACCTCACAATTACTAGAGACAGTTGGTGCCTGGGAGATGCAGGGAGCAGCGCAGATGAACCCAGGTTCAGCTTTACGACAGCACCTCCCTCCCATTCAGCTTTTAGGGAGCCACCGTGATTTTATTGCTAAGACCTATACATCTTTGTTTAATGTGTGGGTGTTTATCTGCACACACCAAGATGTACCACATGTGTACCTGGTGCCTGTGGAGGACCGAAGAGGGTGTCAGATACCCTGGACCTGGAGTTGCAGAAGGTTGTGAGCCTCCGAGTCGGTGCCGGGAATTGAACACAGGTCCTCTGCAGGAACAACAGGTGATCTTAACTGCTAAGACAATCTCTCTATACATTGTTTTTCTTTTTTCTTTTTGAAGATTTCTCACAATGTATTTGTTCAATAGTGTCTTACTGTCATGGTTTGGAGGGCAAATGAGAATATTGGCAATGGTTTGTAATTCATGGGGGTCTACAGAATGCCACTGGCCAATAACTCAAGAAGAGGTAAGCATTCCCGGTAATGGGGGCTTGGTTGGCTAGCATGTGGTGTCTGCTTGGGGTATTGCCCCCATTTCTGCTATCCACATATTTCTTATTAACATGTAACATAGCATTATGATTATTAGAATTGTTTTTGTATTCAATCACTTATAAACACCAGTTCTTTAGCGTCACTAACTACAGAGATGATAGAGGTGTAAAGTCCTGTTTAAGACGGGTAAGGCTAGTCCCATTTGCTGCTGTTCTTTTAACTCTTCTTTTTGTCTCCTCCTCCCTCCTCTTTGTCTCCCCCATTTTTTTCTTTGACTCTCAGGAAACTCAGGCTGACATCACATTTGTGATGCCTGTGTGAATGTCTTCCGCATTAGAGTTCCAGGCATGTGCCGCCACATCCAGCTTCTTTGTTTCGTTTTATGATGTCCTAAGCCAGGTAACTGCCTGGGAGGAGTATTAATCGGTTTCAAATGTAGGTGATGGAAGGAAGGCCCTGTCCCTGGCATAGTCATTAGACCAGTTTCTGTTTGGGCACAGGATCTTTAGCTCACCATACCTTCTGATTTCTGGTGACCGGATTGCTGTAGTTAGACACTGCTTTATTATAAACTACCCAAAATGCAATAGCTTAAACAAATGATATCATTGATGCTCATGATTCTGTGTGGCCTATTTATAAGTGTCTCTCATGGGGATTTTACAGGCAATGAGTCTAAACCCTGTGCTGCCCTTGAATGGGGGTCTGTTTTGGGAACTAAGCCCTTCTTAGCCTGTGGAATCTGATGTTATCTACGACTGAGTTAGAAAACACCAAACTGGTCCTTTGGAGAATTGATTTATCAGATAAAGGAAACCTCCTCACACACCTCCTAGTGTTCAAGGGGTCTGAAGTATTGTGCTTTCCATCTGAGGCTGTCACCATCTTTGGAGATAATTGCTTTCATTCAAGTTGTCCTGCCAGCGACTCTTAGCTGGGGCTATAAATCCCTTTGCCGATAGTGTTACAGTTCTGGGCTCTAAGTGTCGGTGGCCCAACACCAGCACGCAGCAGCCAGTGCTGTAGCTCTAGCTTGTTAGAATACTTGGCTCTGGGCAGCTTCATGGCAGCTGTGAGGAAATGTTTCCAGGACAGGGCTTAGAGCTGGCCTTTAGCAGTCTCTCAACTTCAGTCATGATCCTTACAGCCTTTTATCTTCTGAAGTCTCTACTCACCAACATCTCTCTCCTTTGCTGTGCCCCCAGATTTCCTTCGTAGCTTCAGTCCCCCCCCCCCCCCAGAGACTCTGCTTCCAGCTGCTCACTGGTCTCTTGTCCCCTTGTGATGGCCTTGTGTCTGGGACCAGCAGAACCTGGAATTGCCTGTTCTTCAAGCGACTAGTTTGGCCTACTTGACCTGTGATAAAAGACAAACGATGTCTCGAAAAAACTCTCCCTGTGATGAAAATTGGCGGTTTATAGTAGGGAGTGCTTCCAGAATGCTAGAGGAACCCTTCACCCAGCCACTCTTTGCGTTAGCTGTCACCGGGACTTTTCCCTCACTCAGTTAGGGATGTCATCATGAAGTCTGGAGTACCTGTAGGCAGGGATGTCTGAGGATGCAGGAGACCTCCTCCTCTGAGGGTCATATGAAGTTGGCATGGCCTAGGCAGAGGCTCCCAAACACTTCCAATATTAGGATGGTGGCCAAGACAGCTGTGTTAGCCCCCCTCAACAGGAGGGAAGTTCCTTTGGGCTGTCAGCAACTGGCTGAAGTCTCCTCCCTGTGTCAATGGCCAGATTAGAATCTCCTTCAGGTAGCTACAAGGTTTAGAAATTGTCAGTGATTGCCCTGATAAGGGCTACATAAATAACTGAGAAGACCTGAGGTGACTTGATTGACAGCTCCACAGCCCCTGTGGAAATGGCTGTAGGTCCTTCAGCAGCAGTGGTAATATTGCTCACAGGGGACTTGGGAACTGTGTAACCACAACTGTGGATCCTCATCCAGCCTTCCTCTCTGCAGGTCTGGGGATAGGTGCTTGGTTTGTCCTTGGTAACTGTTGCTTCAGCTGGGCATAGGGGAAAAGTCTCACAGCTTTCAATCAAGTCTCCCACTTACCCCACCAGAGAGATCCCATTTTGATAGGAAAAAAATGTATGTATAAGGGGTGTTTGTGACAAAGGTTTCACACACAATTAAGGACTTTTTTTTTCCAGTAACATTTTTTTTTCTGGTAAT